CTATATAATTAAATAAATATAAATTAGTTAATATATATTTTAATATATATTAATAAAATTACTTATGGTATTTTTTTGCTCGCGCACTAAAAGGATATACTAAATAGCAATATCGAACTGAATTTGAAATCTAAATATATGTATTTTGGTTTTTATTTATTAATAAAAAATTTAATAATTATAAATCAACGATGTCTTTGTAATGATGCAAAAAGTTAAAAAAATATTAAATTAAAATAAATACCTCTCCTATAATTCCGTCAGTATAATATGTATGCTCTTGAAAAAGCCTTTTTAAATATCTAATATTAATTCGTCCAAACAAACTTTGATACCGGTAACCACGTTCTCCATTTCTAAATTTTTCACAACCAATGAAATAAGTGGGCTCTGAAGTATCATCTTCGTGCAATAAAATTATATATATTATTTAATTAATAAACTAACAAGATTAATATATTAACAATTTACGAAACCTGATAATGTTTTTCAAGTTTAGGCTTGCCATCACAACGAATCCTAATATGAGAATGAATAAACCCACATGGAGTTTTATGTACTATAGCAAATGCACTAATAATTATAGAATTTAATAGTTATATACATTATATACATATAAAAAATAAATATTAAATATTAATACCTACTTTAAAGTATTTGTATCTAAAGACAATTCATTTGCATCAAATATCTTTTTGAAAAGGTTATCATCAAAGTTCACAGATGTATGTGTCATTGTTACTAGTTCAGACGCAGCAAATTGACATATTTTAATACTATAGCAAGCTCGCGTCTCTTTATAAACTTTCGTTTTTAAAAAAGGGCAATAGACACTTTCACGAGCAGTTCCTTCTTTGTATGAATATTGTATATTCTTAAGATCAAAAATTTCAAGTGCTTTTTCAGGGTCCATGCTGGCTACATTATAGATACAGGCAACTCCATCATCAGAAGTTTCTGGATATTCCTCAAATTCAAGATGATATTTGACCTTTGCCATGATTTCCGCATTTGATTTACCCAATTTGGTTAATCGTGGCTATATTAATAATAAAATTTGGTTAAAATTTTGTTATACGATATACATATATAGATATTTGCTAGAAAAATCGCTTAAAGCAAGTGCTAAACAGTAATTTTTCTAGCAGATGATTTATACATAGATTTGTACATACCTTTCCGATCTCTTCAGTATTTTCTGGAATTTCTTCAGTATTCGGAATAATTTGTTTATCAAACTTCTACTGTACCAAAATAAAATATTAAAATAAAAAAAAATTTATATTTTATATATATAATGTTTTTTAAAATCAATAAAATTTATATACAGTAAATGGATTCTCTGGATCTTGAGTAATTTCGGTTAAAGAATCAGAATCCCATTCATTATCAGAATTCTTTTCATTGCCAAAACCCTGTTTATTATTAGAAACTTGATCGTTATTAGAACCTTGTACATTATCAAAATCCTGTTCGCTGTCAGAATTATTAACATATTAACTTGTATAGAACAGGTTATCCCACTCATCGTCAGAACTAATTGTTATAGATGTACTAATTTGGTAAACCATTTTTGTTAAATTCGTATGTATATGTACATAAGGAGAAGAAATGTATTACAAATTAATGTTGACTATATTTGTATAAAAAAAGTGATTACATAATAATACGTAGTTTAATTTGTGTAATACGTATTGATTGTGTAACAATATAAGATTTACAAGCACTAATCGTTTATTGTATTTACTATAATGATAAAAGCAATGTACCGTATCGTACATATCATTTCAAAATCTATATAATACAGTACTAAACTATCTTTAATATATATGTATATTCGTACTGTATTATACCCTTTCTAAATTTTATAGAGTATAGTACTAAATTATCTTCTGTACAGTACGAAATATATGTATATTCACCACAGCAACCCTCGTAATCAACCAATCAAAATCAATCATGTGATCCTGTTAATTTATTATTATAATTTTTTAAGTTTATTTAATAAAAAAAAAATACAAAAAAAAAGCTAAGCTAATGAATATCTTATAAACATCATTACACAACATAATATGAAAGCTTCAGCATACAAAAAACCTACAACAAATTTCTTAAAAAACTTCTAACGATTTCCAAAAAACAGTACTAAGATTCACTTTGACTCAAAGCTACATGACAGCTTTAGCAATGACTCTAAATGATAGTACCAAAATCACACACAACTTTGGCAATGACTCTAACAATGGTACCAGAATCACACGACAGCTCCAATGACAATTACTTCAAAAATCTGGTAATGACCCAAATAGAAGAAAGAGAAGAATGTTAGTTAAAAAAAAAAAAAAATGAATAACAAAAAAAATAAAAAAGAAAAAGAAAAAAAAAAAAAGACAAAAAAAGGAATA